CAATGACTAAAGTTGTACGAGTGGCTAGTTGTACACTCTTTTTGTAATTGCCTCTGTGTCTGTACATGTACAGGCGCTGGCCAACTTATACTATTAGTAAAATCCTGGGTCGCATGTACTCACCTTAACATTAAAAAAAAAATATATATTTATATTATAATAATTGTTTCTAATATTGAGTTAAGATATCTATAATAGTAATTACACTAACATAACTAACATATTATGTGGCATTTGTATAACTAGTTATACAAAGAAATACAAACTGGCATCAGATAGTGCAAACTCTAGATAAGTTTTTATAACTATATAAATTCATTAAAATTGTAAAACAAAAAGTCTATTTGGAAAAACCCAAATAGAGAAGTAGTATAGATCTTTAATAATGCTACTGTAAAGACTAGACTACTAGAAACAGATACCAATATCAAAGTACTCAAACTGACAAAAACCTCTAAGTTAGAAGTCTCAAAGATACTACCAACCAGGTCACTAAAATAAACTAAAGAAAAAAGATATTAAGCCAAAATGATATACCAATAGACTAGTTATAGTTCTATATAGATTATTTAAATTAGAGTCTGAAGAATAAGTAGAAGTATACTAAAGTACTAGAGATATGCTATAAAGTAAATATTAAAGTTTAAGTAAACTCTACAAAGGTTTAGCAAATAAAGATAAAACTTTAACTGCAAGTGTTAATTCTGCTATGATGATATCTAAGTTAGCTATAAAAATAAGTACAAAAGGCTCTAAGAGGTTTATCTTGAGAATAAAATAGTCCTAAAATTAAGATAATAATCTAGGCATAATTCAATAATATTAATACAAATATAGATTCAGAGAATTTAAAATAAAATATCTAAGCAGAAATGTTAGATATAGCAATTGGTAAAAAACTTTAAGCAAACTACTTAAATAAATAATATAAAAAATTTATATATGTATCTAATTGTATACTCTTTTTATAATAGTTTACAGAATTACATTACTAAAAAAATCATTAATAAAAGTTAAAAGACTAAAGAAGTTATCTTAAAAAATAAGCTATTATTAAAGAAAATTTTGAATTTAATAAGATTTTATTTAGTTTCAAAAATTCTAAAATTAACAATACTTTTTTTTGTTCTAAAAGTTTTAAATTTAATAATATAAGAGTAAGTTAATAGAAAAAATACAAATTTTTTCTAAATAAAAGTTTTTTAAATTTAAGTTTAAATATTTTAATAATTATTTTATTAAATTTAATAATTTATTTATTTTTTAAATATTAAGATAAGTACTTGTGACTTAGGATTTTATTGATAGTATATTTAGCTAATAGTTGCATTACAATTACAAAGAGCAACTATAGAAAGAGTATAAAACTAGCTATTCATAAAACTTTAATTATTGTCTAATTTAAGTAGTCCATCTAAAGGTTCTATACTAGTTGCCATACCTGAAACCTGCTTGTAAGTTTCTTATTTAAACACTTTAGTTCTTATATCCACCCATCTATCTATATTTACCAAAATGTTTTGGCAATACTGGTACAAATATGTCATATTACTAAGTCTTTAAAGCAGTTCACTTATATGAAGAACCTTTGATCTTGTACTAAATCTTCTAGAATCTTCCATATTCCATTCTTACAACTAACTCAGTATTACTATAATCAAGACTAACATTTACAATTAGGGTATATCATTAAACTTATAGAGTTTACTTAATCCTAATACTGATTTCACAACATATTCCTACTACTTTGGTATTTAATTCAAGTTTTACCAAGCTGCTAATTCAAATAGTCCAGAAAGGTAGATTATAATCATATATCTTTAATTTATATATTCTCTAGCATGTACTCTTTTTCTTTAAAATCTGAAAATTCTAACAGCCTAGTTAGTTCATCTGATCCCTTTTCAAAGACCAGCATATTTGCCTAGCTTTATAAATTCTAGCTTTATTTTATAGGTTTAGTCTTTATAGTAGTATTATTGAAAGTTTGAACTATCTTTTTATTTGGATCTTCCAAGTGAATTTCTGTCTTCTTATCTGATTTTTGTGATTTATATAGTCTAAGAACTTATTATAGATTCATACTGCCTGGTACCAGTTTGTGTTTCTTTATACAATATTGTACAAATGCTTAGGCCTTCTAGTTATGCTAATATAACACAGATTACAGATATCTAATTTCAACTAATTACAAAAAACAGTTAACTGTAATATAGAAAATATTGCAAATTTTTACTGTTATTGGAATTTGTACTCTAGACCTGCCACTTGGAGGTTGACAATCTGACTACTTTACTAGGTTGTTATTCCTTCTAATTTTTTTATTCAAGTTTTATATAAATTCAATATTAAAATAAAAAAATTTTAACAAATTTGATTAAATAATTATTAAGTAATTTTGATTTAAAAATAAAAAAAATTTTACTAAAAATAATTTGTTTCTTTTTTATTAATTTACTTTTATATTGTTTTTAGTTTAAGTTCTAAAAATTTAAAATTAAAATGCTTTGCTACTAATAGTTTCTAATATTTTAATTCTGTTTCTAAGTAGTCTAGTTATATTTTTTAAAAAATTTCAGTTTAGTTGCTAATGATTTTTAGTTTTCTAATTCTGGTTTCAAGATTTTTAATTATGTTTTTAAGAAATTTCTTGGTTTTGTTACTTATGGCTTTAGGTTTTCTAGTTCTGATTTAAGTTTTCTAGTTATATTTTATATAATTTTCTGGTTTTGCTACTAATAATACATATATTTTTTTTATATCTTTATTATTTGATTTATTTATTTATTTTTTTAAAAATAGTTTATAGTATTATAGAACAAATTATTATTATTTTATTATTATTTGGTATTAGTTATTTTATTATTATATTATTATTATTATTAGTTGCTAGAACTTTTTGGTTGCTTAGTAATCACTTAGTCACTTAATTACTTAGTTATTTAGTTACTTAGTCATTTAGTAATTAGTTGCTAGAACCTTCTAGTTGTTTAGTAATTGCTTAGTTGCTTAGTTACTTGATCACTTAGTCACTTAATGCTTAGTCATTTAGTCACTTAGTTACTTGGTCACTTAGCTGCTTAGTTTATAGATATATAAATTCTGCTAAATTCATCAAATCTAATTAAGTAACAGATACTTCTCTTCTTTTTAACATTGTAAACATATTTTAGAATTTGTTAGAAACAGAAACCTAAAGATAATCTTTCTTGTTATTACTTTAATAAACAATTTTTAACTATAAATTGTATTAATACTCCTCTTCTAAAGTAATTCCTATAAGCAAAATTCATCTCCTCTTAGTAAAATAAAGTAAAGTTATTAGTATTGCATTATCTTTTTCAAACTGTTTCAAAGAAAGATATAGTTTCTTAATAATATCTAACAGAAACTATATTTTCCTCTTGAACACCACATATATCTGTAAGGGATTTCCTGTGCTGTATTATTGTTGTAGTATAAAAATTAAGAAAGTTTTTACTTATAATTTCAATAACTTGATTGGTATATATGTTTATTTTATATATCTGTTATTTGATTTATCTGTCTATCCTTTTAAAGATTATTTATAAACTTTCATTAGTTCAATAATATTATCAAAAGTTTGTATTATCTCTTTATTTGAGATTTCAAGTAAACTTTTGTCTTTTTAATTTTTAATCTTCTATGTCTAGTAATTTTATTGTAAGTTTATACTAAAATCTTATATAACACCAGTTTTAATATATATATATATATATAATGTTATACTTTATATAGATGTTCTGAGCTTCTAATAACAAGTAGAACCTGACTTGATGTACCTAAAATTATAAACATATAAATTTAACTGATTAATAAAATAATTACTATAACATAAATATAATTTTTAAAATTTATTATTTATGAAATTTGAACACTAAACCTGCCACTTAAAAGTTGACAACCTGCTTACTTTACTAAGTTACCACACCCTTAAGTTAAAAGACTTATTACATTATAGTTTACAATAAACAATAAAATTATGCTAAATAAAAAAAAACTTTTTAACTAAGCAAAAACTTTTAACTAAACAAAAAACTTTGAACAACAAAAATCTTAAATAAATAAATAAATTGAAGATTTTTTTTATTCTAAAATAAATAACTTAATCATGTTTTACATGTTATAATTATTATTTAATACATATCTTAAATATCACCTAAGTCACATTATCATTACAAATATATATCTTATTAAAAAATGTACTGTAGATGAAATGGTATGTCAGCATTACTATGTTAGAAAAATATGTTGACAGGTAAATTATTTTTAGAGAATCATATCGTAACCTCCAACTAGTGTAACAAACTGCCTCTGAACACTCAGAAGTAATCAGAAAATATCAAACCAATGATCTACCACAAACTCTTAAAATCCAAAATCTCAGTAAACCATAATACTGACATCATGTGATGCGACAATTAAAAATTTAAATCTGACAATAATTGTTAATGTAATAGCTAATTATTAAATATTAATTGTCACGTCGGGATTATGATTTCAAGATTTTGGACGTCGGGATATTGAGTAGAACAATTTAAGTTAGAACGTAAACAGGTTTGTATACAATAATTTTAATAAAGTTAACGGAAAGGTTGACAAAGATTAAAAAAAAAACTAGATATTATCTAAATTCAGAAAGAAAAGCTGGTTTCTGGGTATTTTGTAATTATTTACTCATTATTTATACTGCGAATACAAATTATATCCATTCTAATATGTACTTTAACCTATTTAGATATTATGAAGCTTCATTTAATAAGCTTGGAAAGGATTAATGATGAAATTTACATCCTGCAATAAAAGAATTGTCCGGAGCGAAGCAAAGGACACAATCTGATACTGTATAAACAAATTTTACATACATACCAGTATACGAACGAAAAAGATATTGAGTCAAAGATTTCAAATATGAATCGTTAATCTAAATTGTAATTACTATATCGATATGCGTCATGAATTATTTCTAAAGCACATTTTAGCAACTTCATCCTCCAAAATTTTCAAATCTTGTTCTCTTGACAATCTGTGATCACCATCAGGTACCAACACAACCTTACAATTTTCTCTTGCATTTTCATCAGGGGACAACATTCTTGCCCATTTTAAAGTATCATTAAATGAGACATCATTATCATTTTGTCCATGTATAAATGTAATGGGACATGAAATATTCTTAACATCTATAATTTCCTTATTCAAATAATGTTTTTGAGATTCTTGAAGAAAATGTAATGAAATCGGATAACTTCCAGATTTGGAATATTTTGATGGTCGATTATATATGATCTCTGTAGGAGTATATTTTGACAAATTTGTCAATAGTCCAAGGTCTTCAACTTCTTTCCAAATTTTTTCAGTGAAGTTAATTGAAGAAGCTACACCAATAATTCCATTTATTCTATTTCTTAAATCATTTCTTTTTAATAATACTAATAAAGCTAACCAAGCACCCATACTAGAACCAACTAAAATTTGAGGACCACAAGTTTCTTGTTTCATAAGTAAACATAAATCATTAAACCATTTTCCTATAGTAACATGACCATCAAGATCGTTTAAAAATGAACCAGTAGATAATCCATGAGCGTAATGATCAAATGTTAAAAAATCTAAACCAAAATCTTGACAAAATTTTGTTAAATGATTAATTTTCCGAGAGTTTTGCATTTCTGAATGAAATCCATTAATAAATATTACACCAGGTAATTGTTTATTGATTTTGTTATTTATGAATTTTTGAAAGGCCACATAATCAGTTTGCGTTGTCATTAATCGACGAGTGGTTGTCATGTTCGATTTATATCGATATTGTGGGGAAAAGGCGTAATTTTATCAATATCGATATAGTTTTGATATGTAGTACTGTATATCATTAAATATCATTATTGTTTTTAGTACGTAGTGATGCAATCTTTTTTGAATCCTGATCGTCTATTCGCAGATTTTCACGTAAATAAAAAAGATTACACAGAAAAAATATATCGTCCTTCGGACACAATTTTCCTTGCACTAACGCTAATATAACAATATTCATAGATTAGTTTTAATTGTTTATTTTCCGATCAACCGCAATAATTAACCTAGAATTTAGCTATTGCACCGTTTGTATGATTTATTTTTAAATCAACTAAGTCATCTCTATGGATAATCCTGAAGAAAAATTAAGTATCGATTACTTTTATCTCAATAGAGTTAAAAAAGACGAATGAACATAAAGCATTATTCAATTTGTAAAAACAGCTGGTTGTTATTATTATGGTTTAATTGGGGTTATAACTGGTTTTAATAATTCGGGTTTATCAAATGAATTTTGTGATATTTTAGAATTTATTAATATGTAATTGGATAAATTTCTAAAATATCATAAAATTCACATGATAAATCCGAATTATTAAAACGGTTCCAACCTCTAATTGAGGTATCGTAAGGCATACATATATTATAAAAAATCTGCAGAAATGTGTAGTGTTAATGGAATATTTTTAATGTTGGGAATTGCTATAGAGAAGGAATCGGAGTCGAAAAGGACGAGAATAAGGCATTCGAGTATGATAATCATCCTTGCAATATATAGTAGATCAGAACATCTTATAAAGACAATCGAAAAAAAAACAACCATCTTGCCAAATAGCTTAAGTAGATATTACTGAGGAGAGCCATCCTTACAATATAGCCCAGAGACCTCACAAAGGCAACAGTAATAAAAAATTTTTTTTTATTATCTATAAATCTAGCAATAATTTATAACATAAATCTAGCAATAATTATAATGATAAATCTAGCAATAATTTATAATGATAAATCTAGCAATAATTTATAATGATAAATCTAGCAATAATTTAAAAATATAAATCTATATCGATATACTTTATCCGATTAATCTTATTATCAATATCGGTATTAAATTGTTCAATTGAATTTTACATTAACCGAAACTAATTCTCATTTACAATATAATTTTAAGTCAAAAAGAATTTTAAATTCGGATTTAATAAAAAAAATAAATCCTATTAACAACTTTGAAAATAAGATATTCTTAAAAATCGAATAACTTAATCTGAGTTAATCTAATAATTTATGAAAAATTTGAATCAAAAAATTTTATATAGAGTTTCTTTGTTATATTAAATCAATTCTATCACTAAGATATAATGGCCAAGTTGTCCAAACCTCAGAGTTTTTATAAAAAACCAACTTTCTTCCAAATCGATCATTAATTAAAACTTTTTTAAATGGTTTACTTTCCTTTGCAAATTGAGTAATAAAACCAACCTGTTCATCATCAGCACCTACTATACCAAATACAATCAATGTTTGTATAGGTGCTCGACATTTTTTAAGAAAATATTCTAAATTCCAAGAAGTATTTTGAAAGAATAATTTAAGTACAAATAAAGTGGTAGGAAGAACAGCGGGCAGCAATAACAAGAAATCACTAGTATCATAAATTAAAAAATTAACAGATAAACGTTCTAATTGAATTAATTTTGATAATAAAATCAAGAATTGATTTGTAGATGATGATTTGATATCAATTTCTAAAGTTTTAATATTCGGGCAGAACTTTGTGATAGATTCTATTATTTTCGGTGAAGATCCAGTCATAAATAATTCTTTTAAATGATAATTAGCAGTCTCAATTGCAGATTCCAAAAATTCTTGAGTTGTTTCACATTTTCTGACATATAAAACTTGAAGTTTGAATTCAGCTTTCTTCAAAGGCATCCAAGTGAAAGAAGTCAATCCTTTACAACTAATGAATGATAAAGTTTGCAAATTTTTACAAGATGCTAAAGCTTCAAGAGAAATACCAATAAATTGAACGTGTGAAAATTCTACGTGAATCAAAGAATTGGATTGATATTGCAAGGCTGATATGGCAGGAGCGATGTTACCAGAACAATCTAATTTAAAGTATTGTAAATTAGATTGGGATTGTATAAGATTCACAAGGTGTATATCCATAACTTGTAAACGAATATTTAACTCTCTAAGTTTTTTACATAAACTAGATAAAGTTGCAACAAGGGTAACCAAATTATTGAAATGTGTAGATTCAGTTGTATAAGCAAGATTAAGATTAAGTACACGCAATTGAGATAATAGATTAGGATTAAGGGTAAAGATAGAAGGAGATGGAATATCAGATATGGAAGGTCTTTTCCAGAAAGTCAGCTGAGTAAATTCTAAATCTTGACGAGAAAATAATTTGCACAAAACTTCTGAAAGTAAAATTCTTTTATCAACATCAATAATTAAACGATTCTTATCTTTCGAGTGACTTTTTGAACGAAAGAACCAGTTTTTAACACATATATCCAATCCCCAGTTATCGAATACCTTTAAGTACGATGGATAATTAAATAGTGGTTTCGCAGTATCAGTAGACACGTCGATTCCATTCTCTTTAAGTAAAGATTTTTCGGTATCATCCATACAAGAAATATAGGTATTTATTATAGATATAGATCTATATTCTTCTGACCGGATAGATAAAGAAAAAGGAGCACGCCATAATAAACCTAACCGGATAGATAAGGAAAAAGGAGCACGCCATAATAAACTAACAACATGCTGACACCAAATTCTATTAACTAATAAACATGAATATAAAAATTTCGTATGATGAATATCGTGGCATAAGTAGGAAAAAACGTGGTCAAGTATTTCTGGAGGTAAAGAACCAGGTACAAGATTTGGTTCTTTGATAGAAGAAGTCATTGTATTAGCCTTATTTTTAACTTAACGTTAACTTCAATTTTAATGTTAAAAAAAAAGTGCATTTAATCTGTGATGCACTTATATTTGATCACATACCATTTTGTGCGACCAACCATTAACGATGACAAATATCCTAATGCAGTAATGCGGGGTTAACATTTATGTTTATGTACACTGACATTATTGCTATTCAACGGGTCAGTCCGTTGAGCCATTCATGTGAGCATACAGTAGTCTATATTTATAAATAATGTTCTCCAATCATATTAGAGAGCGCTCACATGAATTAAATTCTTAATTACCGTTACGTATTAAGATCAGATGAAAAGTCCCTTGCTTTTATGTGTACCATTTTTTAATAAAGAAATAACGATGAGTTATTAATGTTTATGTATCTTTAGGTTTTTTTTTTTTAATAATAAGACTACTATTCTTAACGGATTAAAAACTGAAAACAATCTTTCAAACAAGTAAAATGGCTTTGGAAATTACTATTGTTACACGATTGCATCATAGATTTGTTCGTGTGCGTGCGTACAGTACAGCAATACGTACAGTTACAAAGTTATATATTTTCCAATTCGAAAATTAGATCAGAGAAAAGTATTAATTATAGCTCAAAGAAAGAACAACTTGGTAATGGAGATACACACTTTATTAATTTATGAAATTTTATCGTTTTAAGCAGAGATTTGTCAACTTTTAGTATAACAGAAAAATGGCTTTAGATCAAACTTTTTTCTTATTATTCTATCATTTAATCGTCGTTTTGTAAAAATAGTTTCGTTTAGTAACTACATATAGTAACGTACATGAAAAATAATGTAGATTTATTTTATATCTAAACAAGATTTTAAAAAAATATATTATCGTTATTAACTTCACTATCAGAAATTATCAAATTATCAATTACAGTAAATCAATACTACTTGATTTAAATTTCTTTGACATTATTTTCATTACTATCTTTATCAACCAAATCAGGAATTACTAAGTTACTTGATATTTTAGTAAGATCAGGAATTACTAAGCTACTTGATATTTTAGCAAGATCAGGAATTATCACATTATCATTTGATTTAATACTATTTGATTTAAAATTCTTTAAAATATTCTGAGTATTAATAAAAGTACTAAAACGTTTTGTATTTGGATAACTATATGAAGTTGTTGATAAGGTAGGAATAAGTTTATTTGCTTCCTCGAATTCGTTGTAAATTTGAAGCTCACTTTTGGTTAAACACTTTGGGTTGCAAATGATGATGCTGTACCAAGATAAAATTTTATTATACATATAACTAGCAGTTGGTCGAACTGTTGGGTTTGTGTCCATGCATAATGTTGCATATTTAATATAATGTTTAGGTGTTCCTGGAGAAAATTCTGGCCGCAATCCATTACATATCGCTAATGGAAGGTCTGTATCAGATGAATAATTTTTATCGTTATATGATAACCTTCCAGTTGACATTTGGCACATAATAACTCCTAAGCTATAAACATCTGATGCCATTGTATATTTTTGTTCTAGTAATACCTCTGGAGCTATATAAGGTACAACTCCAAATATTCCCCCACTTGTATCTAAACCATTTATTCTTTTGGACAATCCCAAATCTGAAATATACGTAGTGATCTTTGTTTCGTTACTAACTTGAAGAATATTCCCGGGATGAATATCCTTATGAATAAATCCTGCTGAATGAATATTTTTCAAATTATCTGCTATTAATAATAAAGACCATAATTTCTCTTTCCAAGTAAGAGTTGTAAAATTATTTGATAGGTAACAATAGAGGTCTCCTTTATCAGCAAATTGAGTTACCATAAAAAATTCTTTTGTTTTTGTATCTTGGGTAAGCCCATATATTTTGAGAAGACCTCCTTTTATTTGACATTCAACATGAGTCTTAAATTCATCGAAAACGTCTGATAGATTTTGTTTTCCAGCCAAGCTTTTGAGTGCAACCGTGCAGGAATGTTCACGTGATGTTATATATTTAAGTCCCGATTGTTGTTTTTTTGTTCGTTTTCCATCTATCCAAATTGCTGAGTAAATAGTACTAAAACCACCGATTCCAATTCTTTGTATATCTTTTAACCTATCAAAAGGTATCCATTCAATAACATTTACATAGTCGTACGCTTTAAATTGTGATCTCTTAATAAAAGAATCGATTTCTTTATTACCACTTGTCCATTCCTGATTTATTATTTTTGAATCGCATGAATTACATAATTCATATCCGGTGTTATACTTTTTGCAATTTGTACATACTCCAAATATTTTGTTTCGCAAGAAAAAAAAATCATTTAAACGCAAAAATTCCTCTTCATCCTCTTCAAAAAACAAATGCCTCAACTGGTCTAAAGTAATCTCTCGTTCCCAAGCAACGAATCGTTGTGACTCATCTGTCATATTATTTTCATATTGACATAACTTATCATCACAATAGACCGTTACTCTCTCATCTTCTAGAGATTTTAGAGATTTTATCCAATTTTTCAAAATTTTCACGTTCTGTATTGATAAATGGTACTGCCGAATCCATTCCTCTTTTGCTGACAAATGTAAATTCCAATGGACCCAGGGAAAAGAAGAGGAAAATTTAGTTATCGTCTGTTTATTAAAAAGGATATTTACATCCTCTTCAGAATTTTGTGATATTAAATAACATGCCATAAGCTGCATTGCATTTGAAAAAATAGAAAATGATGCTTTAATATCACGGTTGGTTTGATATTTACGTCGTAAGCTTTCCTCGAACGAAAAAATATCATAAAAACGAATTTTCATAATCATCAATTCAACTTCCTGCAATTCCTTTTCAATCTTCGGAATTTCTAATAAGATAATATTTCGTACATTCTCTGATTTAAGTTGATTCCATATTTCTTTTGACACATCTCTTATAGATAATTCAATTTCCAAATGCTTATGCAAATAGTCCCAAACAATTTTTTGTCCTTCTGGATTTAAAAAGTCAAATCATCCACTGAACGTGACAAAAAAGATTTCAAAGAACCCAAACGTCGTTCTACATCATCATCTTCTCGCAAATATTCCAAAAAGAGCAAAAAATCTTGCATATTATCTGCCATTGCTAAGTTTTTTTCTTTCACTAAGCTAATATTAACCTTCATTCTCCGAGCTGATTACAATTTTGCAATCTTTTTCTTTCTTCAAGCTAATTTCACCTTCATGTGCTTTACATTTTTTTTTTCTTTTTAAAAATTTACTTATTCTTTTAATCATACAATAGTATTAAAATTTTTTTACGTATAATGCAATGATTTTTCCCTGGTGGGCCATAATTAAAGCTTTACGGAACTAATTTTCCGATCCAATTCCTTGAATTGGAAATATCTAACTTTGTACGTAACTAATATGTATGTACGAACGCACGTATTAAAATCATTAATCTGAATTTAGTGCAATAGAATGTCAAAAGTAGAGTTCGAAGCCGGATAAATAATTCCAATTTATAACACTAATTTTGTGTCTAGAATTTCTCAAGTTAATATTCGGATTTTTACTGTTAAAAAAAGAAAGACCTATCGATTCACTACAATACAAAGTAGAATATCATGGATCAGCATAGAGATAAAATTGTGACTTGCATTATTTTCTTACGTATGAAAAATACGTAAAAAATTGTTATATATGGTTCTATAACAGAATACACAAAATTAAAATGTATTATAATAAATAAAAGTCGAAAAAAATCGACGATTAAAAATTGTATTTAATGTAATATTAGTGATAACAGTTATAAACACACAAACAATGATAAAAATTTAGCACAGTAGGGAGATAATCTAAAAGAATTTTTAAGCGCATGCGTAAATGTATAATTGACTATCGCTATAACGATAACAGATAATTGATAACACGGAATATCGATCTTCCCAAAATTATTTATATAAGTAATTATCAGTTATAGAGAACTGAAACATATTCAGAAAAATAACATGAGAATTCATTATTTCAGTAATAAACGCTTGTGAAATACTGTAACTAATCAGGCTCTTCAATACGCCTGTCAATACATCTGTCAATTTATCTGTCAATGTAAATGCCAAATTATTATATGAGATTGATTAGATCAAAAAAAATCGTGAGTATTTTTACACATCATTATCATATGTATTTAAGAAAAATTTAAGTACCATCACATATATATTTCAATAAGTAACCCCTTGTGCCCTATTTTTTTTTAATCCCAGACTATCGGAATGCAAAAGAAGCTTCCTTAATCAAATTATATTTCTGAAATTAAAAAAGTAGGGTAGAGGGGAGGGTTACTTATTGGGTGTAGACGGTGCGCGTATATAAAGAAAGACCAGGGCACATTATTCTACATCTATTGTCAAATAAACTTTTTTATTGTCCTTTAAACCTAGCCCATTATTATGGCTACTATCGTTATCGTTATTATTATTATTATTGATAATAATACAGGAAAAAAAAAGAGAAAAAGAGAAAAAAGAAAGAATTTAAAATTTAAGTATTTCTATAATATTTAATTACAAAGTTTTCTATTAATATTTGTAGGATTACTCTATAAAAAATTTTTTTAACATATTCGTATTATAATTCAAATGTTTACAAACAAATCAATAAGACTAATACGGTCGACCCCGAATTTTTTGTGGTCTCGGATGACCATGTAATTTTTGATACAAACAACATTTATTACACAATCTCCTTTCTTCAAGTTTTCTCCAACATGGGGTTTCAGTGGTTCTACAATTTGCACATTCTCTATTTTGTTGAGTGTTTCTTCTCTTGATCCTGATTTTACCATCAACATCACGGTAAGTTGGACGTTGAATTCCATACTTTGTACGATAAATTCCACACGGATTACACAAATGACTTGTTCCATATTTACGCCATGTTGAAGTTTGATCTGTTCCACAATCCGAACATACTTTAAAATTTTCTTGTTTCTTTCTTAAAGTATTATTATTTGTAATTAGATTTGATTGTTGAGTAACTAAAGATGTATTATTGGATGTAAGTGAGTCGATAAACCAAAGATTTGAATCGATTTGTGGCGTAGTAGGGGAAACCATGTAAACATCATTAGGTTGAACTGGTGTAGGTGTAGATTGTGGTGTATATGAAAGAAAGGATGATCCATGATAATAGTTTTCGGGTCTAAAATTTAAAACGTTAAAAAAATATATACTTTTATTAAAAAAAAAAGGTTTGTTGTTTGTTCGGATAATCATAATTTCATAATTAAATTAATTACGTACCTGTAATTTGCATAGGCATCAAATGACAACGATGAAACGTTTTGTTCTGAATTAATATTATTATTGTAAGTATAAGTGGAGAGAGAATACATGTTAGCATCATTTTCAAAATGATACATTTTAAAAATGATGTAAAAAAAAAAAGTCGACAAAAAAATAAAAGTTATCAGTTATCAAAAACGTTGCAAAATAATCAACGGAAAATTTTGCGTTATATCAAAGAATTGGTTTGATGAAATTGTAAATCTCGCATTTTTTTGATTAAAAGAACAAAACTTGCTTATATAATAATACTTTTTATTATTCATTATTGTAATCTCTTTAATATCTAACCTTTATTTTCTGCACATCAACAATTATCACTACTCAAAATTTTCACGTCTACCGAATCGTTAATTTTTTCTTTTCGCTCCTGCGTTCTGTGGCATTATCATAATTTATATTCATAATTTATATATATAGAATTAATATACTTAAATTTATATTATAAATTATAATAATTATATTTTGAATTTATATTTAAAGTTATGCACTACAATAAATGTTATTCTTAGTATCGCAATATGTCGTAATTTATTTTCTCCCGAAAAAAGATTTCGAGACATTGTTCAATTATGTTTGTTTCTAAAGCTGCATAGTGATACTTAGATTAATTAGAGTTGCAGTTTTTTGAAATGATTGAGTTTAGTGTTTTTTTGATTCTCTTAATTTTAATTGATTGTTATCTTTCTTTTGTTATCAATTCCAGAATTACTGTTAAATGTGAGATCTGCATGTTCGCTACTAATCAACTATTGAAAAAGATTTTTTTTCTCGATTTCTTTGTCTATTAATCTTGTAAAGTTAATAACAATAATTTTTTTCTAATCTTAACATATCTTAATAAATATTAATATATTGTATAAATATGATTCCTATTTTGATTGTTATTGCAAAGTTGCAATGGAATTCAATGAAAGCTTAATAAACTAATATCCATTGATATCCATTAAATTATTCGGAACTCCATTACCAGCCATAAAAAAATATTAGGGTAGAATAAAAAAATGTATTTGTTATTGTTATCTTTTTATGGTAAATACCCGAATAACTTTTTTAACCTTAATTACTAAATTGTGCGTCAAAAACTTCGGATACATATACAGTACGTATTAGAGTTTTAATACGTACTCTTTATTATTATTATTATTATTATTATTATTATTTTTATTATTATATATACTACATAAAAATAAATTGTATACTATAATACTATTTAACGTATATGAAAAACTAGAAACGGTTGCTTAAGCCTATCTTGGTGCACTAATAATATCTGGAAATCAATATTACTTACTTAACATATAATACTTCCCCTCACCCGAACCTTAATTTTAATTAATAATTGTTAAAAATGCTTCACTTTTTTAAATTTAGCATTCAAGAGATTCGAGTCGAATTACAATCACGTGATATAAATATTACACAAATAAAATTTCGATTCAAAGAAAATTGCGCCTTATTTTAGTAGTTCATCTCTTTTTCCACAATGTCTGATACCACTTCTTATATTAACCATGTAGCTAATGTAACTAGCAGTACTCTTGGTGTCGTAAAAGTTTTTTCAAATTCTTCCGCTGTTGTTGCTGACGCTATTGTACCATTCTTTCCTTTAATAACTGAAATATCAAGTATAGTTAATGAAATAATTTCTCTTTATCAAACTGCTGAACATAATAAACGTATTTGTGGTTCACTTCTTGCCCGTGCTACAGCTGCTCAAACTGCTGTAAATAATTTAGAAATTCGTAGATTTGAAAATGAAGATTTATTTAAATCAAAAGAATATTATAAAAGTTTTCAAAAACTTGTTAATATTATCAGTAAAATTAAAGTTTTTATTGAACAAGTTTCTCAAATTAAAGGTTTAAGAAGATTTTTAGCTTCTAAATCTATTGAAGAAGAATTTAAAATTTTAACTGAAGAATTTGATGGATTAATGCGTTTATTGAATTTTACTATGGCTGTACAAAATCATATACAAATGGAAGAAGATAGAAAGATTCTAAAACAAGATATTTCCGAGATGACAAAGGTATTATACTTATTTTAATTTATTTAATTGATTAATTAACTATTTAATTATTTAGTTAATTAACTATTTAGTTATTTATTTATTTAATTAACTATTTAGTTACTTATTTAATTAACTATTTATCATAATCTTTATCATAATATATTTAGTTATTTACTTATTAAATTTCTTTTATTACCCTACTTTATAAATAGTACCTTAGAGAGATTGAAGGTGGTATAACCAGTATCACCGATAATATGACTCTAATTAATTCAAAATTAGATGATATTACTCAATTAAATTTAGCATGGCAAAAGAAATTATTAAACAATGATGAAAGTATTTTTGAATCCGCTTTGGTTAAGACGACTGATTTATGTGATCCTCCTAATCCAGTAAAACGTGGAAAAATTTCAAAAAAATCTTTAAATTATGAAGATGTAGCTGTTAAAGAAATATTCTTTGAATCTAATGATCAAGATATTATTAAAGATGTTTTTAGTCAAGTTGTTATCTTAAAAAAATTAAAAGAATCTCAATATATTCTTCAATTTTATGGTATAGTTCAAGATGGTAATGTTATGCATATGGTTACTGAATGGTGTGAATATGGTAATTTACAAGATTTTTATCGTGGTTATGGTCCTCTTACTTGGTTTCAAAAATCTTCTATGGCTGTTGATATTGTTCGTGGTTTAACTTTTCTTCATACTGTATCTATTTTACATCATGATATTCGTTCGGAAAATATTTTAATTACTATTCATCAACAAGCTAAAATTGCTAATTTTACTTTAAGTCGTGGTTTTAATGATCCTACAAAAAATGTTTTACCCACTATTGAAATGGTGAGATGGATGGCTCCTGAAAAATTGAGTGATCATGAAAAAAATCCTTATACTGTAAAATGCGAAATATATAGGTATGTTTTTCTTTTATTTTTATTTGAAATATATATATTTATATATTTATTTATTTATTTATTTCAGATATATTAATTAAGTTATTTATATTTGACATTTTTAAAATATAAAGTTTTGGTATGCTCTTATGGGAAATCGCTGAAGAAAAAATACCTTTTGAAAATGAAAGAGATATATTAGAAATTCGTAATCTTATATTAATACAAAAAGTTCGACCATCATTTACTATCGGTGTTCCAATTGAATATTCTAAAATTTCTTATCAATCAATGCAAGATAGTCCAAATGCTCGTCCTGCTCTTAAAAATATTTTTATAACTCTTTATAGTCTTTATCAAAAATTTCAACCTAAATCTTCTCAACGTCCTGTTACTCCTCGTATGTCAACTGATGAAGATTTACCAGAAATCGATCCAAATGAACTTGCTTTGGATGATTTAACTTTAACTTTTAATGTATTGAGTATGAAAGAAGCTATTGCTGAACATAGGAAAAAGAATGGTGATAAATTAAAAGTATGGGAAGCATTTAAAGTACATGCTGAAGAATTTGGTGATATTACTGCGAGGTACCCTTTTTTTTTTTCTTTTTGTTTTCAAAATATCTAATTACATTAATTACTTTATGATTTTCTAATATATCTAATACGTAAACAATTTAATATTAAATATCAAGATATTGGGTAGGTTATTATCTTTATTATGGACTTTGTCCAATAGATGAACCTGATACCGAAGATAAGAAAAATGTTCGTTTAGCAAAAGCTGCAGCATTATTTAAAGAAGCAGCAGATACTGGATTAGCTGATGCTCAATTACGTTATGGACATTGTTTATGGTTAGGAGAAGGTATTCAAAAGAATATAAGAGAAGCAATTGAATATTTTCAAAAGTCAGCGGATAACGGTAATACTACTGCATTGTATAATATTGGTAATCTATATTATAATGGTTCAGGAGTTCCTCAGGATAAGGAACTAGGGATTAGATATTTAAGAAAGGCTGCTCTGCAAGGACAGCCTAAAGCATTAGAGATGTGTAAAAAGAAAGAAATTGGATTGGTGGGTTAGTTTTATTTTTTAACTAAAATTTTTTGTAACTATTTAAATATTTAAGATTCGATTTGATTTAATTAAATTTTGGGACTATTTATTTAAATATTTAAGATTGAGTTTATTTAATATTAATATCGACTGTTCAAGTTTTCCAAGTTATAATTTTTATTTTTTTATTTTTTTTTTTACGCAACGCATACGTAAATACACATATGCAATTACGTGCTAAAGCTTGGATCCGTTATCTGTTAGATATCCGTTAAATTTAATATGGAAAACGAATAACAGATCCAGTCTCTCTAATACATACATACAGTATATACGTATACGTCTCATGTAAATAAGTAAGGGTTCTGCAAGTTCCAAACACGGTCACAAGCTTGTGTATTAATAATACCGTGCCCGGCATTTGCAAAAAACCTTAATAACATGTAAATAACATGTAAAATAATATGTAAATAACATGTATTAAAAAAAAAATAAAATAAATTATGAGTTTATGAGTTCTCATTTAGTTATCGATCGTTATAATTTTCGCGTATACAGTATTTTTTGATTTTCTTTACCTAATTCAGTAATTTGGTATCAGTAACCAATCAATTTGATGATGATAATCTAACGTTAATGTTAATCCTGTAACGGTAATCAAATAAATTTTTAAATACTGTATCTATCTTTCTTTATCACTATCATTATCACTATCGTCATACATAATCAATTATGTTAGTTTTACCGGGAAATCCTGCATTATCCTCTTTTAAAACTTCAGCTCTTTTAAAAAATATTCAAATTCATGTTCCAGAAATAATTTCTATAACTTCAATTTATGTTCATTTCGTACAACCACTCAACGAAGAAGCACTTATAATTTTAAATGATCCTGAATCTATACAAAGAAAAATTCTTGATAATTTATTATTTTATGGAATTTCTAATCAAGTTTCAAATGATTCTGATCATGAAAATTTTTTGATTAATCAACTTAAACAATGTTTAACTTCTGATTTAACAATTTTAGAAAATAATCAAAATTTCTTTTTAGTAACTCCTCGTCCTGGTACTATATCACCATGGTCTTCAAAAGCCACTAATATCGCTCATATGTGTAATTTAAAAAATTACGTTGAACGTATTGAACGTGGTATAGCATATTTGTTTAATACAAAAAAATTTACAAATTTACCTTTTATTACTTTGGAAAAATTATATTTATTCGATCATTATTTATATGATCGAATGACTCAAATTTTAATCACCTCTATTCCTGCTTCTGATTCTATATTCAAACATGGTTTTCCATCACCTTTAAGATTCATAAATCTTTTAAATGATGATGATAAAAATATTATAATAGATCATAATTTAGCAAAAGATAAATTAGTTAAAGGAAATCAAAAACTTGGACTTGCACTTGCTGATGATGAAATAGATTATTTAGTTGATGCTTTTATTGGTAATAATTCTTTAAATAGAAATCCAACAGATGTGGAACTTTTTATGTTTGCTCAAGTTAATTCGGAACATTGTCGACATAAGATTTTTCGTGCTGATTGGATGATAGATGATGAAAAGAAACAATTTTCTTTATTTGATATGATTCGTAATACTCATAATTTACATCCAAATCGTACGATCTCTGCATATTCAGATAATGCTGCTGTATTACAAGGATTTAAAGCTACAAGATTTGCACCAAATTATTATAAAGATCATGAATATATTTTATTTGATGAAGACGTTCATATGGTAGCAAAAGTTGAAACTCATAATCATCCAACTGCTGTTTCACCATTTCCTGGTGCATCTACTGGATCAGGTGGTGAAATTAGAGATGAAGGATCTGTTGGACAAGGATCAAAGCCCAAAGCTGGATTAACAGGATTTAGTGTATCAAATCTTTTAATTCCAGAATTTATTCAACCTTGGGAAATTGATTTTGGAAAACCTAATCATGTTGCTTCTGCTTTAGATATCATTATTGAAGCTCCTCTTGGTGGTGCTGCTTTTAATAATGAATTTGGTCGTCCAAATATTACTGGTTACTTTCGTACATTTGCTCAAAAAGTACCTACAATTAATAATAAACTTGAAATTCGTGGATATCATAAACCTATAATGATCGCTGGAGGTGTAGGAACTATTCGACCAAATCATACTTTTAAAAAAAAAATTACACCAGGTGCTCATTTATTTATACTAGGTGGACCCGCAATGTTAATTGGTCTTGGTGGTGGTGCTGCTTCATCTATGGCTAGTGGTGCTAGTACGGCTAATTTAGACTTCGCATCCGTACAACGTGATAATCCTGAAATGCAACGTCGTTGTCAACAAGTAATTGATGCGTGTACTGCATTAGGAGATACCAATCCTATCCAATCAATACATGATGTTGGTGCCGGTGGATTATCTAACGCGTTACCAGAAATTGTACATGATAGTGATTTAGGGTGTATTGTTAGATTACGAGATATTCCTAATGATGATTTAAGTATGTCACCAATGGAAATTTGGTGCAATGAAGCTCAAGAACGTTATGTTTTAGCAGTAACATTGGAAAACATTGAATTATTCAAACAAATTTGTATACGTGAAAGATGTCCATTCGCAGATGTTGGTATTGCTACAGAAAAACAAGATTTGATTTTAGAGGATTCTTTATTGAATTCAACTCCGATAAATTTACCAATGTCTGTTTTGTTTGGCAAACCACCAAAGATGTCTCGTAGAACAAATACAGTAAAACCATTACGTATACCATTTGACACAAGCTTGAAAAGTTATCTTACAAATGTTATTAGTAATAAGGATATTCTCAAAGATGCTATTAGTAGAGTTATTCGTTTACCTTCTGTAGCTTCAAAATCATTTTTAATCACTATCGGTGACCGTACTATTACTGGGTTGGTAGCACGAGATCAAATGGTTGGACCTTGGCAAGTACCTGTTTCTGATGTTGCTGTCACGACGACATCTTATGGAATTGGTGTCATTACTGGTGAATCCATGGCCATAGGAGAAAAAGCTCCACTTGCTTTAATTTCACAAGCAGCATCTGCACGTATGGCAATTGCAGAGGTTATAACTAATCTTGCAGCTGCAAATATTGAAACCATTTCTCATATACGTTTAAGTGCAAATTGGATGTGCGCAGCAAATCATGAGGGTGAAGGTTCTGGTCTTTATGAAGCTGTACAAGCAATCGGTTTAGAACTTTGTCCAGCTTTAGGAATAAGTATTCCGGTTGGAAAAGATTCTATGTCAATGAAAATGAAATGGAATGATAAAGATGGATCTCAAAATGAAGTGATAGCTCCTTTGAGTTTGATTGTTACAGGATATGCACCTGTGATTAATATTCATAAAACTTTAACACCTCAATTAAATTCCAGCGTTAAAGAAAGAACAATTCTTATATTTTTAGACTTGGCAAATGGTAAACAAAGAATTGGTGGATCTGCAATTACACAAGTATATCAACAGATTGGTAATGAAGTACCTGATGTTGTAAATACGGATGTTATTAAATCTTTCTTTAATAGTATTCAAAAGATTCGTAAATTTGATGACGAAATAATCTTGGCATATCATGATAGATCTGATGGTGGATTGTTTGTGACTATAGCTGAGATGTCATTTGCTGGACATGTAGGGGTTAGTGTCAACCTTGCAAACATCATACAAAATAATGATGTTATCAGGGCTCTTTTTAACGAAGAACTTGGTGCAGTCATCCAAATCAGACAGCAAGACTTTGAACGATTGGTCCAAATATTCACTGATGAAGGATTTCCTCGCGAGGATATTCATCATATTGGTGAGACAACATGTGATCACCAAGATATTTTTATAATGACGGGTGATTCATTATTGTTTAGTATTTCTCGTATTGAACTACAACGTATGTGGTCTGAGACATCTTATCATATACAATCACTACGTGATAATAGTACATGCGCCCAAGAAGAATTTGATAGTATCTTGGATATTGACAATCCTGGATTATATTATAACTTGACATTTGATCCTGCTGATGATGTATCTTTGCCTTTACTAAAATCACCAACACGACCAAAAGTAGCCATTCTTCGCGAACAAGGAGTAAATGGCCATACAGAAATGGCTTTTGCATTTCATCTTTCAGGATTTACTGCAATCGATGTTCATATGTCTGATATACTTTCAGGTGATGTAACACTTTCGGATTTTAAGGGAATCGCAGCTTGTGGTGGATTCTCTTACGGAGATGTATTAGGAGCCGGTTCTGGTTGGGCCAAATCTATATTATTACACCCTAAAGCCCGACAAGAATTTTCAAATTTCTTTCAAAATCGACAAGATACATTTGCATTAGGTGTATGTAATGGATGTCAATTTTTGAGTCAATTAAAAGAATTAATTCCCGGTACGGAAAATTGGCCTTTATTCAAAAGAAATCAAAGCGAGCAATTTGAATCTCGGTGTAGTTTAGTTGAAATAATTTCTTCAAATAAGACACACTCAAAACCATCAATATTTTTCAATGGAATGCATTCATCAATATTTCCTATAGCTGTTGCACACGGTGAAGGTAGAGCAGAATTTTCCAATGATGAACAATTTGAAAAACTGATGGCTCAAAATCTTGTCGCAATGAGGTTTGTAGATAATTACGGAAACCCAACGGAAAAGTACCCATATAATCCAAATGGAAGTCCATTGGGAATAACAGGCATTCAAACACCAAATGGAAGAGTGCTAGGTATGATGCCACATCCTGAACGTGTAATTCTTAAGGAGGCGAACTCGTGGTATCCTGTTGAAGAGGGTGAAAAGTGGGGTGAAGTTGGGCCTTGGTTAAGAATGTTTAGAAATGCTAGAGTTTGGGTGGGCTAACTATGAAATTTATGCATATGTGCTAAATTTATGCACTCAATTATTAATAATCAAAAATTCATGGCTTCATGTTTCCAATTTAAATAAACCTTAAAATTTTAATTGTAAAAATTGTCAATCAAACAAGTTCTATTCATACAATCAAACTTATATTGCTACCCATTTTTTAAAAAGCTAAAATTTTGAACTATATAAATTTTTAAAATAGTTTCGTTTTCCTATTATAAAAAAATAAAATAAAATAAAATTAATAACATAATTATATTTATTAGGCATATAATACGCAATAAGCTTTTTAATAAGAAAATACATAACCAATTCTTCCTTCAGAATTAGTAATCCTTATTAAAGAAGCTTCATCTTCGTTTTTAT